AGTATTAGAGTTTTGGAGAAACGTCTTCTGCCCGGATAAAGAAACCTTCAGGACAAAGAAATAGCTATATTCATCTGCATTAGTAAGAGTTGCTCAGGCTATCCTTTATTTATCTCTTTATTGGAAACAAAATAAGCCTGATTGATTATATTTTGAAGAAGTAACCCCCCCCCATCTTAGAAATTGTTAACTACAGAGGAATATATTTTCCTACAGGAAGATCCCATCTCATCTTTATCAACTCCTGGAACTCTAAGACTTTTACAATTCCCCCATTTCTTTTTTTGCCAAGGAATGCCACTGATTGGCTATTATAGATTGTATGCTTTGAGTAATCCTAAAAAGCAATAAAACTCAGATCTGCATCCTGAGAAGCTGAAATTGTTACCATTCTAAGCAATCTTCGTTAGCATGCTACTAAATCTTAATTTTTTTTTCCCTTTTCAGTTTGTCAACTCACTTTTTGACCCCTCCAGGCTTGGAGATTTCATAGTGGGTGTGATTCTCCTGAGGATATCATGAATCTCAAGCTGGGAAACTCCCACAACAATCCTTTATTTTATATTAAATTTTAGAGAAAGAAAAAGGCTTGAGATCTTTGATTTGTATCACAGCTGCAAGATTATTCAGATTAAAATAGCTTCAGTGTAAACAATCTATATCAGTCTGCATATCATCTGCCATGTGGATCAATTTTGTTGTCTGGTTTGTCTTTTAGTAATGCCAAAGTTCCCCCTATGTGGCATGAAAATCTGGTGTCTTTGTTTGCTTTAAAGGAGAAATAAATCAAATTGCTTGTTTTCTGGACCACTAGCTATTGAATTTCCCTCCTTGCCCCACCAATTGCTCTTAATGCAGCACAGATAATAGAAGAATCTTTTATTTTTCTGTCTGGCAACTAATAGGACATGGTATTACTTACAACTGATTTTTATGCCAAATGAATTCTGGTTTAGATTTTTTTTTTGCAATAAAATGGAATGCAAGCTCTTTGAGGGCAAGGATTAAAAAAATGACCTTGTATTCCTATATCATAGCACAGAAGGGACTTAGCAAATGCTTGTTGAAGTGAATTGAACCTTGACATCCATATATAGTTTGGTTTGGTTTGGTTTGTTGAAAATGAGATCAAGGTTGGTTCACTAGGAAACATATTGACTTTGGTAGTGATTAATTTAGTTCAAGGGAGGAAGAAAGATCATTTGGAGTCAGAGAAATTAGTTCAAATCTAGTCTGTCATTTAATAACTACTAAATTATGGGCAAATCATTTCCCCTCTCTGGGCCTCAGTTTCCTCATTTGTTTAATGGTGGTGGGGATTGGGATCAAAATTTATCTGCTACTTTCTAGTTCTAAATTCTATAGAGCTATAATCTTAAGTAAAACTTTGGAATAGATCTAGAAATGATGATGTTTTATAACAACCATTAACAGGCCAGTTTCTGAGAGGTCTAATATTACTCTGGTCACCCATAGTGGAGCTGTGTAGAAACTTACTTCTTAGTCATTAAAGAAATGTTTTGTCCATTTTAAAGCTTCTTTCTGCAGTCTCCCTCAAAGTGAGCACTTAGCAGTTGCCAGTGATATCATATGTAGATATGTAGTGGTGATCCCAGTTCAGTGAAACTTTGGCCTTCTTGTTCCATCTTCTCTCTTTACCTCTCCCCCTAGTTGCTTAAGGCAGTGGCAATAGCAATGGCAAAACTTGGTCTAGGTAGTAAGGCTGACTCTGAAGGAGAGATAAAGACAGTGTGTCTTCATAATGCCAAGCACCTAGGAAATGTCTTAGTAACTGCAGAACTGCTACCTAACATATTTTCTTCCAACATGTAGCCCTTGGGCTTTGGAAATCAAGAGACTCTGCAATCAGGAAAATCTGTTCTGGGACCTACTATCTTGCAGCTGCATGTACAGTAGATCATTTCAATAGTTAATCTTAAGAGAGAAACAAAGTGAATAATTCAATTGAGCGGGGCTTTATCCCACTCACAGATTTCCCCCACCCATTATTTGTCACCCAGAAGGACAGCTGGATGCTTACATGTGTATTCCATAGGCCTCTATAATAATAATAAAAAAAAATCAAAAGGCTAATTTCAATACATGAAATAACCCATCTGTACTGTATAGTAAATGCCATACAAGACTGGAGACAGATGGACAAAGTCTTGGCTTAAGGGATTCATGTAGTTGTTTTGATTCAAGGCTAAGAAGCATTTTAACTAGTCCAGAGACTGGTAATTCTGTGGCTGGAATTGTATTTTGCAAGAGATCAATGACTCATTCAAAGATATTAACAGTGTGTTTTGGTCTAGATCTCATTGTCATATGGGGATAGGAAAAAATATTTTAGATTATTAAGATCTGTTCATGCTCTCAGAAAACAGAGGCAAAAGGAACATATATATCTATGATCAATCTTCCAAAGAGAGACTTGAGGGTAGTGAGGGTACTAAATGCTTATAGCTAGGAAAAGTTGTAAACAAAGAAACAAAAATGAAGTCGGAAGAAACAAATGTGTGTGGTATAAAATCTAGGAATTCTTTCATCTATGGAAAACCTAAGAGTTCTTTAGACTTACCTCCCAGAAAAGGGGGCTTATTATGTGACAATCTTTTTCTGGAACTCAGATCAACTGGCAGGACTTGGTAAAGTTACTGTGAATACACATCATCTCATCTATGTAGCTTCCATTGATTGTTTTATCCTCTTGCTATCCCTTCCTCTTCAGTCCCATTTTATGATAAGGTTCCACCAAATTTCTTTGTATTATGAAAGATGGCCATTATTCAAACCATTTTTGTGATGGGGTACAATGCTGGGAAAGATTTCTTGATTTCTAGGTTAAAGAGTTATCAGGTGAATTTTTTTTTCCATAGTGAGGACTCCAGCTGGGAATCCTACCATCACAAAACTCCTTTTCAACTAGATGAGGTTTGTTGTTTCTCTTATCATTCATTATAAAGAGTGAGCTCTCTTCAGTGGAAATAGTGACTTGACCAGTTGGGTAAGCAGGAATTGCTTATTTTATAAAAGTCTGTGTTAATGTAATAAAGCAAATCGTGAATCGTAGCACCCTAAAATAAAATTAGCATTGTCTTTTATGCAGAATTATTATCTCTCTATAATTCTAGATTCTATGAGGGAGTGATAACTCAGATAAAGAAATTTATAGATAATTAATAAACTTCACTTAAACCAATATAGTCAGCCAACTTTCCACCAAACTTTTTGTTAGAATATCAAACAGATTACAAATTGTATGTTTTGTTTACAAACATACCATACCATTAGAAAACCATAAGGGAAGAAACTGGAAAAGGGAAGAAAAGCAATATTCCTGAAAATTCTTCAAATGAGTTAACCAATCCCTGAAAAAACATTTATGCTTTATCTATATATTCACTTTTCATTATACTAGGAATATCTTGGATGTTTTTAAGCAGCCATGCAAATAAGAATCAAACTTTTACCAGACCAGACATTTTATTTCTACCGGCCTGTGCCACCTTGGCTATTTTACTGGTGAGATTTATCCTGTGGATATTTATTTCTTTCCTTAGCCAATATAAATTGTTAATAGGCTCTGCAGTAGGGACTACATCAGTTTCTTTTAAAATATCTTATGCTTTTACATTGGTTTTAATTCACATCTCATGTGATTAGGGGAGGCCCACAGTGTTTTCAGGATATACTGTTTTATTTAGGAGATTGTTACCAACTGACAAGATTTTTTTTTTAAAGGGAGCACTTGAAAAGTGTCTTGAGAAATACTGGTGGTCAGAAACAAAGAAAGAGTTGGATAACAATGCCAAAATAAAGTTGGGTTTATCTTGTACAAAACAGTTATAAATACTAGAGTTCTCTTTGGGATGTTGCTGCTTGACTATTTCAAAAGTATAAAATACTTTTTCTTAGCCAGAGAATATACTTATTTGATACTTAGCAACTACACATCTTTGTTTTTGTTTGTTTTTTTTTTTTGAATTGGCACTAGTTTTAATTTAAAAAAAATTCAGTAGTGATTGAACATATTTTGGAGATGGAAGCCTTATTTCTCACCCACTGTAAAACAAAATTTGAAAGGGATGTGTGTGTGTGTGTGCCCATTAGCAAGATGAAGAAGGTACCTTATGATAACTTGTGATAATGACTCAGACCTTTGCTCCATGGAAGAGCATAGGCCAATTTCAATGAAACTTGTTAGCTGCAGTCTCCTGCTCTTTGTCTTTGTGGTGAACTGGTCTTCCTCTAGTTCAAAAAGGAAAGACAAAGCCTTTAAAATGCATTCTAAGTAAAACTTTAGATTATTTACTTCTTTGTTTTCAACAAATGAAGAATTTCGAAAATTTTTCCTTCTGAAAATAATATCCCTGGCTGATGTGCACCAGGGCAGACACAAGTACACACATTCATATACCTATACCCTTCCCAGCTCTGCCACCTGCTTGAAGTTTCACAGTTACTGCAGCTATTAGCTTGGTTGGCTTTTTCAATGGTTATAAAAAGAAATCCCAGGCCCCTTACCACACTGCAATTCACAATGAAGGTCCAACTGCAGAGTTGGTCCTTCCAGCTTTTCAAATACTCCTAACCCAGAAATGTGGCTCAGCACCAGTAGGTGCTAGTGCTTGGATATGCAAGGAGAAAAGACGGATGAGGAAACTTTGGAGGAATCTACACTATCTGCTTGCAGGTCTTACAGATTTCTCTGTCTAGGTGAATCAACAGCTACCCAAATCTCTAAAAATGATACCAAACTGAGTGGAATTTAGTGAGAATTGGATATTGAAAAGTAACTAGGTATTCTCCAACACACACACACCTCAGGCACATACATAATAAAACCTTAGTGAGGTCATGTAATAATCATAGATAATAAGCTCTTTGTAATTAGGGATGAAACTGACCAGCGTCCTCCTTTGCTACTGAATATTTGCCAATGGTGAAGGAAAGAAAAAGCATGAAAACCTTTCAGTCTTCACCACTACTGGTTATATTTAAAGATAGAGGTATCCGACCCAGTAGACCAGGTTAAAGAGCAGGAAAGAAGTTGGGAAAAAGACTCGGGAATATGAGTCCAGCTCTGAGATATCTATGTGAATCCTTCCTTTCCGCCAGGAACCCGATTTACACTCTTCATAGCAACAGAAGAAGCTTTGACAGTCTTTGCCATCCAGACACTCATAGACACAAGTATCTTCAAATTCCTGCCAGTACATGGAATTATTCAGAGGGATCACTGTAGGAGGTGGTCTCATATCCAGGACAGAATAGTTCTAGAAACAATTGACACAAAAGAGCCAGCATTAGATAACAGTGCAAACAACATTAGGTGAATCAAGAAATCTGTGTATATATTATAGGGTGACCAGAGAGACAGGTTGAATATAGAAACTTGCATGCTTATGGTTTGTAGCCATATATTCAGATTGATCAGGTGCTTGGAAAACATTAATGTAGTAATGGTCTGTTCCATCTAGAGGATAAATATCTAAATCTGTTATGTCCAAGGGATTGTTATGTGTAAGATGATGCACAAGAGGTAGTCTAGCATAGTGGACAGAGGTCACCTTGGAGTCAGGAAGGTTGGGATTCAAGTCTCTCCTCTGACTCATATTGGCGGTGTGACTCCCAAAATGTATTAATATCTCAGTGTTCCCAGACAACTCAGTAAGACTCTAAGCTACTCAAAGGTTGCTGGTTGATATTAATAGTGGGAATTTCCCCATTAAAAGAGTTCCCTTTCTACAGTGAATGCATGTATTGACACTCATTTTTAAAATGTCTTCACAGATCCCATAAAGCATAGGTGAGGAAACTGCAGCCTTGAGACCACATGTGGTTCTCTAGGTCCTCAAGTGCGGCCCCTTGACTGAATCCAAACTTCGCAGAACAAAAGAAATAAAAAAATAAAAAATAAAAAATCTTTGTTCTGTGAAGTTTGGATTCAGTCAAAGGGCCACACTTGAGGACCCAGAGAGCCACATATGGCCTCCAGGCCGCAGGTTCCCCATCCCTGGCTTAAAGGATGAACCCACAACCCATTTATTTTTCTGATTTGATGTATGTCATGAATTTCTTTTAAGCACCTGGATTTTTAGAAATTTCATACCTCCAAATGGCATTTAAAATAAAACAAAACAACAAATAAGAAGTCAAAAGGGATCATGAAAATATTCAACTGTCATAAATCTCCCAGCAATGTCTGACAGGCATCTATGTTGACTCAATTTATATAATATCTCTGTGTACAAAACATGAACAAGGTATTAAATATTTTTTTTTTGAAAAACAAAAAACATAATGGGGAAACATTTTTGATGATCTTTGGAAGAAAAAGATGGCTTTCATTAGAACATTTAAAAAAAAGCATGAATCTCAGTTTGTAGAAAAGTATGTATGATCACTCTGAGAAAAACAGAGTAAAAACGAAACATACAGGAATTTGACTGAAAATGTGAAGAAATTATTCAGAGAAGCAGCAATATTTGTTACTGTCAAATCTTTGCTTTGCCATTGTCAACATGTCAATCAGTTTTTGTTAATGCAAATTCACTGCTGGTGGAATTGTGAATTAGTCCAATTGGTCAAGAAAATAATTTGGAATCATGACAAATATTACTAAATTGTTTATACCGTTTGACCAGAGATCCTATTTCTAGTCAATGATACAATGAAATGACTAATACATTTAAATAATTCATAGTAATTCACAAAAACAAGAAGGTTTTTTTTAATAAAACTAAAACCAGAAATATAATATATACCCAACAATTGGGAGAGGGCTTAATAAATGTTAATATGTGAATATAATGGAATATTATTATACCACAATAGAGAGCAAATATGAAGAATTTTTAATAAGATGAGACTGGTATGAAGTGATACATAATAAAGAAAGCAGAGTCAACATAATATCCACACAATGACTATAATGTTATAAACAAACACTAAAAAGCAACATAATTTAGACTGACAACACATATTGTTCAGTACAAATTATCGTTAAATTAGAAATCTTTTCTTTCTGATAAAAATAACTATAAGCTATACAAGTGGAAAATGGGACCTGTATCAGTGACAATTTTTCTAGTAAGGTTATGTTTACTTCTTTTGGAGCATTGTGCTATGTCAGGGTTTGCTGAAAAATATTTGTTGGGAAGTGCCTGCTACATCATTACAAAATGTTTTAGTGATAGTTCATGTTAAATAAAAAAAAATTATTTACCTGATGCTTATTTCACAATTAATTATAAATGGATTGGAAAAGGAGTTCCAGGTATTTCTATAGAAGAGAAGTGGAAGGATCATCATAGTAAAATTCTAAGCAACTGTTTATCAAATCTATTAATAATCCTTCAGAGATTAACTAAAAAACAATGTTAAAGTTTTGCTGTCTAGTTACACATGTAGAAATGGCCTGAAAAGTAGATTTTAGAAAAGAAAATATAATACTTTGAACCCTTAGTAGTTTGTCAGATTTTCCTATCCTTTAACTAGATGCTGCTATCTATCTGTCAATCTTTCTGTTGCTTTGTCTGTCTACGTAACACAAATTTCAGATTTGGAACATTCATGAAATGCACTCCACTTTGGTCAAGAGGATGATGTCTCAAGCCTATATGCCTATGGGACAAAATCGGTTGCAGAATTTAAGACTCAAAAAAGTGATTCCAGTTGTCTATCTCTGCCTCTCTTTCTCTTTGTATTTGGGGAGAAGCTTACCCAAAAGGAAATTCTATGAAGTTTCTAGGGAGGCAGGTTAGAAATCAGGTACACGTTGAAGTGCCAGTTCCTCTATATGTTTGCTACTTCCCAGAGTCTTTTTTTTCCTTCTTTTTTTTCCACAGGTCTTTTTATATAGAATGTCATGAAGTAGTTGATTTTCTCAAAGAAATAATGAAGATTTTCTCTTTTTTCCAAAGGTCTTACACCAACTCTGCTCCTCAAACAGACACACAGTATTGAGCCATCTTTCTCTCCATCAATAAGGACAGTCTCATACAAATGCTACAGGCTTGAAACCCAGGCAACATTCATATACCTTAGAGCATTCTAAGAATATAGTAAAAAAAGTCTGTATACCAATTAACAACTTGCCTAAAATTCAAACTGTAAGAATGCCTTTTATTTTCCTCATTTTGCAATATCAAAAAACAAAACAAAACCCTGAAGTTTGAATGAATTCAGTATAGCCCATAGAATTCTGATTAGAATTTTAGGATGCATTAAAGACGTATGTGAAAATTAAAAATTATGCATGTGTGTGCAGGACATATACATCTTCATTTGGGGTACTAAGCAGTATTACATATTTTCAAAGTATAAAAATTGACATTTGTATAAAATCTTTCCAAAACTATGTAGTCTGACAGAAAATTTTATAATAAGGGAAACAACATTAAAAAAGTTATTTTTCTTCTTCCAGTCAGTCATAGTGTATTGTAGGACAAGAAGCCTATTAAAAACAATAACAACAACTTTTTGGCATGATGCCATTGTATGTTCAGTGATTTAGGAACTGGAATGGAATTAGATTCCTTCTTTTATCTGCCTACCCATTACCTAAAGTGAAAACAGACAAATAGTAGAAAGAAGCAAAAGGCCTAGATTATCAACAAATGGAAAAATAAAATATTCCTAGAATTGAGAACTGGCTCTCCAAAGAATTGTTTAGAATGCTCTAGATAATACTTAAAATTTGTCAAATAAATAATAACTAGAAAATAAATATTAAACTGATTTTTATTGAGAATGGCTTTTAATTTTTATTTGCCATAATAAACCAAAACTAATGAAATCATATTTTGACCTTCTCTGACATTAAAACAATGTAATATGGTTTATTTGGGGCTGCTTGAACTGAAAAGCTTAGGGGCATGTCATAAAGGAAAAAAAAATACATAAAGGGGCAGGAAATATAATGAAATAAGATGACAGGAATTTTCTTGCCTGGAACAAGGCAGAAGTGGGGTGAGAGGTCATTTAGAATTTATTTTACGAAGTTGTACTTAGGGAATTAGAATCAATCATTTAATTTTTTTCTCTAATTTTAATCTTTTTTTTTTTGACAGGTCCTATGTTTTTTTGACCATCTGGTGATGTCCATGTGTAGTTAGTTACCTTTTGGGTTGTTGAAAAAGAGTGTTTGCTATGATCAGAGAGTTATTTTGACAAAACTCAATTAGTTTCTGCTCCCCTTCATTTTGTACTTCAAGGTCAAACTTGCTTGTTATTCCAATTATCTTTTGATTTCCTATTTTAGCATTCCAATACCTTATGAAGAATGAGACCTCTTTTTTTTTTTTTGGTGTTATTTCTAGAAGATGTTATAGATCAACTTTAGTCTCTTTGGCATTAGTGGTAGGAGCATAGACTTATATTGCTGTGATGTTAAACAATTAGCTTTGGATTTGAACACATGGAATTCTGTTCTTTTGGAGATTATGCCTCAGTACTGATTTTTTTTCTCCCTTCTATTAATTATGATGGCTACTGCATTTCTTCTAAGGGATTCTTGCTCACAGCAGTATATGTAATGATCACCTGAATAAAATTCACTCATTCCTGTCCATTTGAGTTCACTGACATTCATGATGTTGATGTTTAATCTTTTTTTTCTTCTGTCTGACCACCTCGAGCTTGGTTCATAGAACTTACATTCCAGGTTTCCATGCAATATTGATCTTTACCGCATCGGACATTCCTTTTGTCACCAGACACATTTGCCGCTGTTTCTTTTTGATTTTGGCCCAACCACTTAATTGATCTTGGAACTACTTGTAGCTGTCCTCTGCTCTTCCCCAGTAGTGTGTTGGATGCTTTCTGACTGAGGGGGCTCATCTTCCATTGTCATAACTTTTATCATTCTAATACTGTCCATAGGGTTCTCTTGGCAAATATACTAGAGTGGTTTGACATTGCCTTCTCCAGTGTATTACCTTTTGTCAGAGCTCTCCACTATGACCTGTCTGTCTTGGGTAACTTTGCACAGCATAACTCATAGTTTTGTTGAGATACACAAGTCTCTCTGACATAACAAGGCAGTGATCCAGGAGCTGACTGTAGCTCAGATCATGGGCTTCTTATTGCAAAATTCAGACTTCAATTGAAGAAAGTAGGGAAAAAACCATCAGACTGTATAGATAAGACCTTAATAAATCCCTTATGAATGTGAAGTGGAAATAAAAAATAGATTTAAAGGATTAGATAGGTAGACAGAGTACCTGAAGAACAGCAACAACAACAACAACAAAATTCCAAAGAAAAAGAAAAG